GGTCCGTTTGAATTTGTTCCTTTAATTTCATCTATTTCAGAGACAGTAACTCAAAGAAATAAACTGTTTCTAATGCAATATTACTCAGTGGTATACATTTTAAAGATCCCCCAAAACGAAAAGTTCATGTGCATTCTTTTATAACGACCATAAATGATTAAAATATATTTGAACATTAGTTTCCATTCTTACAGAAAGATGGAATAAATGTTTCCAGTTCAAACTGTTGATATAAAATTTTACTCTGGTGCTAGTAAAAACCAAAGATTAAAATCTATGATCAATTCCTAGAGAAACTCTGCTCTCTGATATTCCAGATATAGACGATTTTAACGTGGTTTGATTGGTACTGTAACGATTTTCAATTCAAATACGTTTTCTAAGGATGAATTTAACTGAACGTTTACGAATATCGTTGTAAAAACACGATGCAAACTTCCACGGTAGATGATCTTGTAACAAATAAATAGTCACTTTATTTTCGAACTCACGTTCAGACCGTTTTATCTAAAGAGGAATTCAAAAATGGCACTCTTACGCAATGGAGCAATTGCCTATATCCATGTAACAGAAGCCTTTCGAATGCAACAAATTATTGATTCTATGGCCGCTTCTCTAATAACCGATACAGTGAACATTAGCAGCTGTAGAAAGAGACAGAACTCTCGTGTCCTTAGAAGCAGGAATGAACGATCAACGTTGGCCAGAATTAGCTGTAATATAAAGAGATAACTAACTGACCATGTGGCTAATATCTTGCGTATGCTCTATTCTCGTGGGATTTTAAGTTAGCGTAAATAAAGCCTGGAGGTCTTTTGAGGTTCGGTTGTTTGATTTATATGTCTACCCAGTGTTACAAGACTTAATTGGTTCGTTTTCGCGTAGGATATTTTGGGCAGTGTAAACAAGCTATAAACTCTACAGGTCTCAAGGATAATTTCGAAGAAGAACGATTATTTACTTGGCTATTTTATATCTTTCTTGATTTTCTTTATCATGTAGTTCTTTCCGATGAAACATTATTTCTTTTAATTAATTTGTAACCGTTTATACGTTATTATATCTTTAAAGATTTACACTACTATGCCGAAAAATGTTAGGTTGGAATGTTAGGTCCCGAGCATTTTTGATCTCGTTTCACACGTAACTGAAATTTATGACGCAAATATGGATATTCTAAAAGGGAATATTTCAGTGAGTCTTTTCTTGTGAATTTAATTTTTTTTTACTTTAAAAGTGAAAATAGAGGTAAGTGAGATACATTGTCGCTATTTGAAACTATTTCCGGAAAGAAAGAGAAAAAGCTGTTGAAATACTCGAACCGCTGATTAAAAATAATTCATATCAGACGGAACGGCCCGTCACAAAGATACTCCATATATCTCCTATGACCGTTGTAAAGTATTTGAAAGCTCTTGAATACGGTAATCACAATTTAACGGAACAAATCTAAAGGACTGCGTTTCTGTCTGTGATACTCTGCAACTCATTTTTTAAAAGAAAAATCACGGGTGATAAAAAATGGATTGTTTACAACAGTGTGGAGCGAAAAACTTCCTGAAGAAAACGAAATAAGTCACATTTAACCACGCCAAAATCCATGGAATGTCGTGTATCTGGTGATATTGGAAGGATATTGTACAATAGAAACTCCTTCAAAATCAGATGATTGGAAGGATTAAAGGCAACAATCGGTAAAAAGCGTCCGAAATTGCCCAATCGAAAGGATGTTGTCTGCTAGCAGAACAACGCCAGACCTTATATCTCTTTGTAAACCCGGCAGAAATTGTTAAGGCTTGGCTGCAAAAGTCTTAATACAGATACCGTCCTCACCTGATTGATTACCAAAAAGCGATGTAGGAATAATCTATTTTGACAGCCCCTCACGTCAAATAAGATGGTTGATTGATGTGATCAATTCCTCATCCTAACAAAAACATATAACACATTCACTTGGTGTAATACAGCACAAGGCCAAATGAAGAAATGGGTGTTGGAAGATTGTGTTGCGTTAAGCATCATTTTAGAGGATGAAAGGAAACGGATAGCCATTTTGATCCAGCCCTGATCGACGTCGTAAAATGCATGATTACCTTAATTTTACTAACATTTACTTCTCAACCAGCAGTTATATGATTTATTTCAAATTTTATAAAGACGTCTTGTCAATGAGGATCATAGTTTATAATCTGAAATCACTTTTTCATTGCAATTGACAGAAAGAAATAGTGCAATTCTAAAAGTTTAACTTCTTCTAAACATATTAAAAAAACTATTAACTGAACTCACAACATTTTTATGATAAATAATGAGACGGGGAATATTTGAAAATGTCTTTAGACATTAGTGCTTTTAAAGAATAGATTAACAATATAATGTAATACTTCAGATAACGTTTTAACAAAGAAAAGCGTTTTCTTTAATCATTTCACCCCAAGCAAAGCAATAAAGCCATTATGACGCAAGAGGGTTACTTAATGTTAAAAAAATACTATTAAAGAAAGAGGGCAATAATTGAATAAGAATTAAGCCAGACGATAACGATTGACATTGCATTTAAATTTTTGGAAATTCAAAGTTGTCGGAGAAGCAAGAAATCAGAAAAGTATTCCACAAGAAATAACAATAAAAAAAAACACAATTAAGAAGATAGAAACTAATGACTGATATTGCATTTAAATTTTTGAAGATGAAAATTGACTGGGAAGCAAGAAACCAGAAGAGAGTACTATAAGTAAGGCTTGCGAGAGAAGAAACTGTTAGCATTGAACTTACGGTTTCATCTAGCCATTTCAAATGTAAAATGAAACCTATCCGCCAATCTAGTAGTGCGCTTAAATTCACAGAGTCGAGGTATCATAGAGGAAAGTTCATCAGTACAATTGCCATGAAAGTATTTATAGAAAAAGCACAGGGAAACTGCGTTACGGCGATGGAAAAAGGACTGAAATCGAGATGGCAACTCAGATTCTTCTTTGGGTTTTATCAAGAATCTCTAAATATATAGTAGGTGCACAAGACTAGATAAGGCAGCAATATTCAAAGCAAGAACAAATGGTAGACTTATAAACAAAATGAATCAAGATATAGGTTTATTGAAATAGCTTTCTTAGAGCGCTCTCTTCTTGTAGACTCATGACTGAGAGACAAACATACATTCGCTGGTTTTTATTTATATAGGGTGGCTTTCTTTTGCACGACGCTGCTAACTTCATTAAACCCTGCTTGATCGCTTCGTATACATCTTGCAGCAGTTACAGGAATTCGGAAATAGATAAACAGATTGAGATCTTAGAGTTGAAGAACAAAATGCGGAAAAATTGTCTAGCACGATATAGTGAAGAAACATTCATAGCTGCAGACCTACCATTTGATTCAATATAATATTTCTACTTCTTATCAGCTGAAAATGTTAGTCCGAGAAAACGCAATGAGTTACTCTCCTGGGGGTTAGCATCAGCCATGCTGATGGACGGTGAAAAGGGTTCTCTAAGCTGATTAAAAGTGAGCAGTTGTTTGAGGCGTTAAAATTAACGAGTCATTCCTTACCCCATTTAACAAGAGATTGTAGGTCATTTTTTAGATCAACTACCAATTTGACATTACCCAACCGATCAGACTTACTATTAAGACAAAAGCAAATAGTATTAACTGTTATTTAATATCTGTCTTCCTTTATGACTTATGAACGCTGGACCATCTCATAAAAGATGAAGAAGAGACTTAAGGTAATAGAAACGTGGTTCTACAGAAAGATGTTGAGAATACCATAGACAGAACATGTGAGTAACAACAAACTTTTAAAAGAAACAAAATGGACATTTCTACTTAACATCAGAACGAGATAGTTTAAATTTCTAGGTCACATAATAAGGAAAGAGTGCTTGGAAATGTTGACACTCACAGGACATATTGAAGGCAAAAGGGATAGGGAAAATCGTGCATAACCTATCTGACTACCTCATGCAAATATTTTTGCAGAATAGAGATTAGAAGATATAGATATAAGACAATCTTTATTAAAGGCTACAAAGGATAGGATAGTCGTGGAGTACCATGATCACCCACGTCATAAAGAAACACGGCAAATAGAAGAAGAAAAGAAGAAACATACACTATCATTTAGTGTGCGCGCTAACATACATGTTCATGAGAAATCGGCAGAAAAGATAAAGAATATGCGCTTTTTTTTGCCAGGATTCACAATGTAAGTCTACTTATTCCAAACTATAAGATGTTCTTAATTAAATTCAAGCCTTATTCATGTTTGTGTATACACAAGAGATGATGGATGGATAGTGAAAGAGAGAGAGAGAGAGGATGACAAAGAGATTAATAAATTCTTTGCCTTGATTTCTGATGATGTCCCAAAGTTTACTCTTTCTTCATTAAGCCGTGTAAAATGTCTCCGATCAATCTAATTCTACTCGAATCTGTTTAAGATTGAAAATGTTGTTTGTGTCGGAATTTTTATTGATTTCATCGATCTTGATTTTGTTCTTCAACTCTAAGATCTCAATCTGTTTATCTATTTCCGAATTCCTGTAACTGCTGCAAGATGTATACGAAGCAATCAAGCAGGGTTTAATGAAGTTAGCAGCGTCGTGCAAAAGAAAGCCACCCTATATAAATAAAAACCAGCGAATGTATGTTTGTCTCTCAGTCATGAGTCTACAAGAAGAGAGCGCTCTAAGAAAGCTATTTCAATAAACCTATATCTTGATTCATTTTGTATGAAGGAAGCACAACATTTGGGGAAAATAAATGATCGCTATACGTAACTCATCTATCTTCCAGGATACATGAAAGTAATATTTTCGGATTTGTAAATAGGGAAATAATGAATGAATGCTAATTTCAAAGTTTTCTTTGAATTAGCAATTTAAATAAATGTTATATTTTCCCTTTCTCGCATATATGAAAAAACAAGAGAAAATTTTACACATATTTACATTACTTCCTATTACACCAAATGCGATGGCAATTTTGAGTAAAGACTTTGAGGCCACATCAAAGGGAAACACCGGTTCCCGTCCGATCACCGAAGTTAAGCAACATCGAGCCTGGTCAGTATCTAGATGACAGACCATTGAGTGGAAAGGATTGCAAAAAAAACAAACATTGCTAATAGCTATAAAGTATAGGAAATTGTGGCGAACCATGCTCATCTTTTCCGTTTTTTTTTTATTTCCGACTAACAAATCTGGTATTATGGGCTGGATTGTGTTTCATTGAACAGATTCTGGTTTTTGAATATGTCATTAATCTGCATTATTAGTAAAGCCTGAAATGTAGTAAGTCATTACGAACATTAATAAAATTGGAATTTAAAGCATATGATCAAAGAGTTAGAAAAGGGTAAACTTTTGGTAGACAAATCTATGGCAGAACATGATTTGTGTTGTTTCTGTACCTTGTTAGCTTAAAAGAAGATTTGTGTTTATAAAACCTCTTTTAAACGTTCCTTCTGTGGGACCAATGCACAGTTTTTTTTCCGGTCTTTTAAAAAATTCTCCACTGATTATTGAGTTTTATCCGAAACGTATATATACAGGCGTACGGCCACATCACGTAGAAACACCAATTCCCGTACAATCACCGAAGTTGACCAACGTTGAGCCTGGTCAGTACCTAGATAGATGACCGCTTAGGAATACCAGTTACTGTAAGCTATGATGTTTGTGTGGTGTAATGAATAATTACACCACATTAATTAATCGGAGAACCGAGTTCCAATTACCGTTGAGTTCGTTATATTCATTTGCGCGTAAATACACTTACAGTCTAAAAATAAATAACCAAAATGGCTTTAAAATTTTGATAAACCTTAGAAAACGAATCAATCAATCGTGTTTGAGTAGACGTCCTGCTATTTTTTGTTTGTTTGTTTCTTTATTTCGCTTGCTATCCTGCGCATTTGAGAGAAAGCTGGGTATCCACAAAGTAACGTTTGATGTAGTAGGAAGTAATGGCGGATAAAGAAATATCATTCATTTCTTAGAAATTTCTTTGTTTACGTTTCGGATACAACAATAGATGTCTGGATACAAGCTATCGAGAAGATCTGAACAAGAGGCTGTGAATTCATTCTTCAAGAGGGTAACTGCTGAACCATACTTGGCCGAGATTTTCTCTAATTACGATTGATCTAAAGCACGCCGGACCAGACGGTGTTTTTTCCTACAAAATTGTTGTAAAATAAGGTAAGGGTTTGTTGAGGTTGTGGGGAGAAGCAGTTAACCGATTGTTCTCTTGAGAATTACGGGGTAACAGGCAAAGAAGGCAAAGAAGGGGAAAAAACAAAATAAAACTGAGTAATGACTAATGATGCCACTTCCTCAGAAACCACAGCACGGCCGGCGGCAAGTAACTTCCGGAACAAAATGCGCCAAGGGCAAGTCTTCAAAAACCACCGAGTCTCGCCACCTGCTCAACTGCTGGTTTTCCCTTTGCTTTTATTGACATGATGCAGTTCACAAGGATAAGTTTCAGAGAGGCCCGTCTCTGAACATCCCAAACTGTTCTGTTGCTAACGGAGAAAAATTAGATGTCAATAGTTTCAACAGATATGTCTAGACACGACTCGGGGCTTCTTCTGCATCTGTACAGACACTCGTGTACCATATGTTTATTAGGTCTCTCGAATGCGTGGGCCGGTAGATGTAATTTACACTATTGACATTAATTTATATTCGGACAGTTGTCCTCATCTTTGTTGTTGTTAATACAAAGTTTCAGCTGTTGTTCCCTTCGACATTCTTCAGGTATCGATCGAACTTTATTTAATCTGGTGGGGTAGCCTGCTTGTTCCACTGCCGTGGAAACACTTCGTCTCACTTCCTCAAAAGGAGGCCAAAGTAGTTTCATCTTAAAGGAAGGTGATGGCACAGTTTTGGGGTTGCAAAATGCGTTGCTTTTATTGATTATCATCAATGGAGAGTACTATGCCAACTTCCTGAGGCAGTTGAAAAAGGCTATCAAGACCATACGTCCAGAAAAATTAGAAAAGAGGCCTTGTTTCACCAGGACAAGGATCTAGCGCATAAGTCCTTTGTTTCAATCATCTATATCATATGTTCCATAACATGAAAAAAAGAAGATTTTTCCTAGCCAATACAATAGGGCGGTTCACGGTTTCAACTGGCTCAGTCCCGTTCTGTCTTGTCATGATGTCAGAACTCTACGTTCGCTTGTCCAAACTCGCTTTTATGTGTCAACGCCAATTCTTGGTTTGTGAACTTTTTGCCATATTACTGTTGCTTTAACTCATTACTGTTCCTTTGCCTTGCATATATTATTTATGCTGTATTATTTTCTTTTTCTTGTTATTGCAATCTTTGTCAGTTTTTTTTTTTTTTTGAGAATTCTGTTACTTATTTTGCATTTGACCATGGCTACTCACTCCACACTGACATTCTACACTAATTCAAAGAAACAAGCCACCATCTCTACTGAAAATAGTAATAACAGCTAGTAAACTTTTAAAACCTATTTTCCAGAAAAATGTTTTGCGTAAGATTTTATAAATTCCAACTGACAGTAATACTGACTGTTCGGTTAATGAATGCCGAATGTTTCCTTATAAAGAAACAGGTAATATAACCATTACTCTTATTAATAAATCCATTACCCTTACTATTAGTAAAACACATTTAATTTTCTAATTTAACTCGTACTCCGTTATGATGTGAGTCGAAATCTTGGATAACATGAATTTTAGCCAATTTATTTACACACAAGTAATACATTTACGTCATTATATTCATACGCGCACTTATGACAAGAATTCATAACCTCTTTGTCATTATGTAAAAAAAAACAATATTATTCATCATATGTTAACATTATGGCTAAGATTTATTTTTATTATTGTTCAGACGAGGTAGGTTAACACCAACATTTCTTGCAATAAGAAAATGGCTAACATTTTTGGAAGATATGAACAGATGAATCGTTCGGTGATAGCTATTAAAATGCGTTATCTGAAAGTAAATGGGTCTTATTTTTAAAAAGACCATAAACAAGAAATAAAATCAATAAATCAGTGTCAGCCATAATATTAGCTGGAACGTTTCGTCTTGTCTTCTTCTGAAGATTATTTTGGCCAAATATTTGAAATGGGATTGTTCACCAAAACAATATTCATAATTTACTAAGTTTAGCTGAAGTTTGCGAAGGTCATCCGTGTCGTTTACTCATTGAAGAAAGAATTAACTATATAAATGTAATGTCTTAGCTTTTATCAGTTCAAAGCATGAACAGAAATACGATATTTTAATAACAATAACTACTTCCTTTATGTAGCGTGTCCTTTTAGGCGTGAAACAGATTTTAGGCGTCAAGACAAAGTTCGAGGCGACCACGAACGAGAAAGATGTGCTTTCAGCCTCCTTTCATGGCTCTCAACAATTTCTTGTCCATTGTAATTCTTAATGAATTTTGTCTTTTCGCCATCTCGTCGCTGTTCTGCCAACCATTTACACAAGCACAGTTATAGGTCATACGCTGCTTTCTACCTTCAATTTGGCCTGTAAGTGAATTTTCCCAAGCCTTTTTCCTCATTATGTGCATTTGAAATGTCAACTGTCTCTTCCTGATGTTAAGTATAGGTGTCATTTTTGTTTCCATTTTCTCTAATACTTCGTCGTTGCTCATATGTTCGATCCATGGTATTCTCAGCATCCTTCTGTAGAACCACATTTCTGTTGCTTTAAGTCTCTTCTTCATTTGTGAGGAGATTATACAGTATTCGCTGCTATATAGGAGGAGTGATATTACGTAGCAGTTCAGTAATCTTTTGTTTGTTTCTAACGAAATTTTCCCGTTTGGAAATATTTTGCTGAACTTTTAGAAGGCATATTTCGCTATCAATGCAACTTCAGATACCAGTGTCGTGCTTTCCGTCCTCTGTTCACTTCACACACACACACACACACACACACACACACATATATATATATATATATATATATATATATATATATATATATACATTTTTGTACTTTTAAAATAAAAAACAAACAAAAGTCTATTCAAACTGAGAAATAACGTTTAAAGAAGATGACAATGTGTTGATAACACACAGAAAGAAAACTAGAGAAACTCTTACACAAGGTAGTAAATGAATAATTATCAGAAAGAGAAAAAGCTCAAGATACGAGCTACAAAATGGAGATTTCAAAATCAAACAAACACAGAAGCTTACACATCTAGGAAGTATTTTAACAGATGACGGAAAAAGCGACACAGAAATTCGAAGGGGCATCGAAAGTGCAAAAGATGTCTTCAAAAAGCTAATCAAGTATTAAGAAACAGGAAAACTTCATTAGAAACAAAGAAAAGAGTGTTGAACTACTATCTAATATCAATTCTTCTATATGACAGTGAATACTGGACAAATTACTAATAGACGAAGAAAAGATTTGAGTCTACAGAAATGTGGTTCTACAGAAGAATACTGAACTGATCATGTAAAAAGGAGGTTTTAAGGTAAATGAAAAAACGTATAATAAAAAGTGACAGTTGCAATTTCTGTGAAAATAAGAGAAGAGAGAGCTTAGAGAATTTGACACTCAAAGACTGTATTGAAGATTAGAGTGACAGAGAAAAGCAGTGAAAAAAACTACTTAACACCTTTGTGTAAATGGATGAGAGAACTGAGAGGAGGAAGGATATTAAAGAGGCAAATATTGCTAAGATCTATAAAAAAAATAGGAAATTGTTTAGAGCCATGATCGCCCACGTCATAAAAGAACACCGTGGCACAAAGAAAATAGTAGAAATAATGTTGCATTAAATAATCTATCACACACACACACACACACACACACACACACACACACACACACACACACATATATATATATATATATATATATATACAACGAAATAAACAAACACTAAAATATTTGTTAAAATCGTAGACGTTAAAAAAGTGCACAATTTCAAGTAAGAAAAATCAAACCTTTAGAAAGATTTAATATCTTAAAAAGATAAAACGATGACCAGATCATTAACAAGCTATTGTCAGTAAATCACCTGACGAGCACTTGATGGTCGAAACCGCAGCAGTGTTCTGGTCAGCGTTTC